ATCACTTGGGATGGTATGTGTGTCTGTTCCTGTCCTGGGTTTTTTCCCCATTCTCATGTCATATACTGGTTTCCAGAGAGCTTCAAGGTTTTGTCTGTTAACAGTCCTTCCCCTCTTCTTAGCTTCACCTATACTTAAAAAAAACCATAATTAAAAATAAGAATGAAAATTCTCCTTAGCTTTGTATCATGTTACTCCTAGGCTCTTTTTTTTCTGTTACTCCATCTTTTGTTCTCCCTTTCTGAACAGAAAAAAATAACTTCATAACTTGTTCTGAAGTTGAGTTTGCAGTTCTTAGTTCTTCGACCACAACTCTCCAGCTGCCTGTTGCTTGAGCTGCAAGAGCTCCTAGCGCTTACACCTGTGGTAGGAATCACCGTACCATCCATTGTCTAAACAAGGACAGGGCAGTTAGCACATGACACACTTCCTAAGAGTTTCACTACCACGCAGCCGGATAAGCCATTTCCTTTTGGGAAGACATTCCTTCATCAGGTGGGCTAATAACAGACCACTCATCTTTATTTACTGTTCTGTGAGGAAAATCCCATGATCTTTTGGAGGGAGGGGGGCTATAAGGAACGCAGGCTACTCTGCCTAAGGCAAGCATTTCAGTTTGAGAAAAACATTCTTCCAGTGCAGTGCTCCAACATCCCTGTGCGCCAACGTTAGATGCTGACACCAGCAACCTAAGAGGCCACAACTGTCAACTGTTTTATGCAAGGCTGATACCACAAGTAGTCCCAATAATTTTTTTTTTTTTTTAAATAAGATCCCCTGTGACAGATGCACCCACTGTGACTGAGTGGACAGTAATTTGGTTCAGACATCACCAACAAGTAGGCCTGACTGAAATCAGCCCTGCTGTGCAAACCTTGAGAACTGTGCTAGGCCGTATCTTCTCAGAAACTAAGGAGTTTAGGCCATGTCTTATCAGGTGCTAACAGTACTGGCCTGAGCTGGGATTAGACAAAACTAAAACTGCTACAGCTGCACAACTGCACATACACCAAAATGGGGTTTGACTATGAGTCAATCACTTTACTATAAATATCTGTAGCCCCCATAAGCCCATTATGCTCTCCTGTACGGCAGTGGGCTGCTCGGCGATGATCTCCCCCTTGAGCAGGGACACCTCTCAAGGTTTCTCCTTGAGGTTGAGAGACCCCTTACCCGGCATCTAATATCTATAACGAGGTAAGCGACATTTTACGTTAGGCCTAAAAGTATATTGTATGCTTGCAGCATTTTTATATATATCCAGCTATAGCTTAATTATTGGAAGTGTAGTAAGTAGTAGAGTGTTTGACCGCTGTCTAAATTATTGTTTAAATCATAATTTAAATCATTGTCAAATCACTGTTTAATTACCATTCATTTATTGCTTAATAACCATTCAATTACCATTTAATTTTCATTCAACCATCAATTATCATTTGACCATCATTTGATCATTAATAAAACCCTTTTAGTTAACCCCACAAAGATGACTTCTCTTAATAATTCACCTGTGACACCCCCCTACATGCAAAAGACTCAAACGTTAATGTAGAATTAAGGTGTACACTCTTCACTGGCTATCTCCTGTCACGAAAGCAGCCAGGAGCAGCTTAGGTTTTACAAAACCAGGGAACAATTACACCAAGTGACTTTGCACAATCAGGTACACGTACTTTTGGAAGACACGCCTCAAGCGGGACACAAACAGGTTACTGCTGTTCTTTGTGATTCTGTCCCTCTTGTACAGAGGGAAGCTTTCACTAAGAGTCAGTTTGTACTACAGATTGGATTTCCATTGTAAATGTGCGCCCGAATCATTCTATACTACTACTATTCTATTTAGCAACATTTTTAATACAACACTATGCCCTGTATATATTGCAAACCAGAATATTAACAGGTAATGCAACAATTGCAATATTGCAAAACCAACTTACTTTACTGTTGGAACATATAGACCTAGTGAAGCTGTCCAAGAAAAACAATGGAAATGCTACAGATTAAGTTAAACAAGATGTGTCAGTGTGTTCTGTAGGGAAAAAAATGGAACCTACCTATGAAATGTTTCATGAAGACATGGTCTTAGGTCTTCACACGCCGCAAATTCAACAGGTTTCCAGGCAAACACGTAGTATGTGCAAGCGGAGCTTACTGAAGGACAGAAGGCCCAAGTTGTCTCCTTTTTCTCAAATTTGTCAATTCTACTAGAAAGCCAAGAGGTAGTGAACCAAGTTAAGCAACTACAAATACACATTCTCTGTACATGAACTGCATCTTAGTAATTTCTTGTTTGCATAATTTTAATTCTGCAGATTCCTGTACAAGGAGGTAACAGATTTGAGAAACTTTATCCTGGACAGATTTTCTTTGGCCGGCCCACAGCTTTGTTTCTGATTCATGACAAAGAATGAGGACACTGTTAATGACTGCAGAGGTCAAATATACTGCCTCTGCACTGTGTCTTACCTTAGCAAATAAAGGATGAACTCTGAACTTAAACCAATTTTACCCTACTACGCTCCGTGTTCTAACATTACTTTACAAAAAACAAATTTAGAAATGCATGTCTCCTTTTTTTGCTTAGAAATTCAATTCATTAGAGAGTAAAAACACATTAAGGCAGATTTAATTACTATTTTCAAAAGGACTTTCTGAATCTGTTGCAAAACTTATATTTCAGAAAAGGTTGATAAACTGGATCATACTCCCAGCACATCATGGATTAAAGCAACTAGAGATTAACAAATGAGACTGCATGTACTGACAATTTGAATTCATTAAATAGCACAATGTTTGATCACACAAACTTCCAAGATCAGGCTTAAGTATAAGACCATGGAAAGACCCGCCTATTCCAGAAGCAAGCATTGTAATCACAAACATCTTAAAAAGCCCATTTCTTAAGTACATGTGTGTGTGCATTTTGCCTGAACAGATTTTGACTGAGCCTCTGGAACGCTGCTGAGTTTTCCCTATGCACTTCATCTAGGCTCAGGGACATCAGAGAAGTTGAAATGCTTTTCAGTTTAAATTACTTGCACTTGCCATTATTAAATTTAATCTCCTATCATGCTACTTGTTCAACAGCCTTACTAGTTTGGACCAAATGTTCCTTAGCCACCTTTAGTTTTACACAGACTAAGTAACTGTCAAACACAAATTTTTGTGCCTTGGTGTTTGTTTTTTTTCCCAGGCACTTGATAAATGTCTAACATCTGTTCTAATTGCACATTTTTGTGGTCTTCTGTTTTTTTCCGAAAAGGCTAGTAATTCATTCCAGTTTTGATTTTTATTTCTTTTGGTTTGAAAAGTTTTCACACAAGACACTAAAGAAAAAATATCATGGATTACAAAATGGCTTCTGAAAATCTATTTTTCTCAAGCACTTTTCCTTATTGTTCGGTCACACACAAAAAAGCTAGAGCAAATCTTCTTTTAGAACAGTTGTGTTCATTTTTCCTTATGAACTGTTTGCGATAAGCCATTTTTTTAGATCCTTTTTTTAAAATCTGAAATAAGAAAGCACAGGTGGCACTTGGTGCTTTCTTTTCCAGATGAAAACTAGACACTAGTGGCTGAGCTTCAGCATGAATTTTCTCTAATGAGAGGCAGTGCAGTTGGCAGCAGCTCAGCCACTTTGTTCTCAGTATTAGACCTTGATATATTAGGGACGGGATGCCATCCAGAGGGACCTGGACAAGCTCGAGAAGTGGGCCTGTGAGAACCTCGTGAGGTTCAACAAGGCCAAGTGCAAGGTCCTGCAGCTGGGTCGGGGCAGCCCCCGGTATCAATACAGGCTGGGGGATGAAGGGATTGAGAGCAGCCCTGCCGAGAAGGACTTGGGGGTACTGGTGGACGAAAAGCTGGACATGAGCCAGCAATGTGTGCTCGCAGCCCAGAAGGCCAATCGGGCTGCATCAAAAGAAGCGTGGCCAGCAGGTCGAGGGAGGTGATTCTGCCCCTCTACTCTGC